GAGTACAGGCTGGAAGTCCCAAAGTCAAAATGGGATACACCTCCAAAGGTGGTTGAGAATGACCAAGCTAAGATCCTGTGGGACTTCAAGATACAAAGTGACAAACTGGTAATGGCCAACCAAACGGACATAGTAGTGGTGGACAAACAGAAGAAGAAGGCCGTAGTGATAGATGTAGCAATCCCAAGCAATAGCAACATCAGGAAGAAGGATCACGAGAATCTTGAGAAATACCAAGGGCTGAAAGAAGAACTAGAAAAGATGTGGAAGGTGAAGGCACAAGTGGTCCCCATGGTAATAGGAACACTGGGGGCTGTGACCCCCAAACTGGGTGAGTGGCTCCAACAGATCCCAGGAACAACATCTGAGATCTCTGTCCAGAAGTGTGCAGTCCTAGGAACAGCTAAGATACTGCGCAGGACGCCCAAGCTCCCAGGCCTCTAGTAAAGGACCTGAGCTTGAAGGAAGAAATATAAGACTGCCCCAAAGTGGGAGGCGAGTGGGGGATACATGTATATATATATGTATATGAAGTGACCAAAGCCGATGTGCTGTATATACTGTATATTAACAAAAGAAGACACAATGCAGAACAGACCTTGCTGTTTTTATTAATGTAGTCTTTGAAGTCATCATCTTTGGTCATAACGGCTTTGGAGATGAGAGGCTGGTAGGTGATGCAGATGGTGGGCAGCAGAGGGGCACTGGTTGTGTTGGCCAGCCATGTGATCTTTGCTGTCTTCTTATAGTCCTTGTTGTCCAGGTTCAGACGAGCCTCCATGGACACAACCTTAGAGTCAGCCCCTCTAAGAGGTGAGAAAGGGTGAGAACATGAACAACTGGACAAACCATGGGATTATTAAAAACTGTATAGATTACCTGAGCAATAAACATACATACTTGTTGATCTTGGTGATGATGAGGTTGCCCCAGTTGATGAAAGTGACCACCTCACCCTCTGAGAAGGTCTCAGCATCAGATCCTTCAATCAGAACTCTAGGTCCATACCAAACCTCTTTCATGCCCACCTCTGCGTTCTGGATGGGCATATAAATGGCTTCAGAACTGGCATGTGTACTAGTACAAGGCTTCCACTGCCACTCACCATTTCCCTATTCATGCAAGTGAAGCTAAAACATTTTAAAATGTGTTTTATGTACCTTCCAGGTACACAGTTCATTTTGATAAGTTACCAAAGTCAGCTCAGAGACTCTAAACTTGCTCAATATATAGTGGCTAAAGCATGATTCAACACATTAGTGCTTATTTTTATAGTTTTATAATATTGTTAGAAATCACAATTATCTATAATCCTGGAGGTGCATTCACATGAGGAAAGGAAGGTCTGAAGACAAAAGGTTTACTTGTTTAGCAAAAAGTAACTGGAAAGTAGTGACAAGAACATATCAGACAGCAAATATCATGAGGAGCTCAGACAAGGAGTCGATACACTTTCCATAGACCAACTGTTATACAGTATCGGTTGGAGTATACCAACAGGCAAATGGTGCTGAGGCCAAGTACAGCAACAAAACGAAAAGGCAAGAAAAAACCATCACAAACTGTGATGTCCACAGGCATGATTTTTACTGACAATTTGGAAGTAATGTTTGAGGAGCCAGAGCAAAGTAGTGATACAGTGGATGTGCCTACTGTACATGTGTGACAAACCATCCTTATTTCAAGTACACAGAAATTTGACAAAGGTAGGAATCCCTCCTAGCCAGAATGTTTTAGTCAGAAATGTGGTGTGCTTCACACAGCAGCGTCTGTCCAGTAAAAGTGTAAGCAAAGAGCAGTCACTATTTTAAAATAAAGTTCAAATGAAAGTGTTATGAGCCCACTGTGCTAAGTAAAAAGAGTATTTGTGTACATGTGTAGCAGAGGGAGACAGAGTCCTCTAACCTTAGGGTGTTTGGCCACTTCCTTCATCTCCTCTGCAGCCTCTGGGACAGAAACAGGAACAACATAGGAGGAGGACAGAGCTGTGTATCTGGGAGCTACTGGGTCGATAACCTAACACACACACACACACACACACACACACACACAGGTCAGTAAAAGATGACCAGTGCTTTTTGTCCATCTCCACAAAGTGCTGAATAATGAAAGGATTCAGCAGAAAATGATGCAGATTTATTCAAAAACAATTTTCTTTAAAAATAAACCAAAGAAATCTATACAAAACAACACCAGCTCAGATCATGTCAAATGAAGGAAGTCAGACACATACAAGAAAGACCAGTGAAGAGAAGCTGATTTCACGAGTGAACCATCATTATATGCAGGTCATGGAGATAAAGCTTTTATTCGGCCAACATCCACTTTCACTATTTTACCAGACAGCTTGAGTGTTGAGGAGCCAAAATAACAACTGAATGTGTTTAAAACCAGGCTAAACATCAGCCCAGCAGGAGCACTGTTGTTTAGCTTATAGCATCCAATTTAAATATTTGTGGTTATTACTGATCTCATTATTTCTCTTCTTACCGATGTTTCCAAGGTATCTTTTCCAAGGTTCTTTTTAATTTCTTTTTATACTAAAGTGACAGTGGCTGCAGAAAAAAACATTAAAAAATCATATCAATAATCAGGACATGCTGACAAAATGCAGATTTTCTGTAAGCATTGAATTTGACAGTGACCTCTAACCTCAGGAAACAAAGCATGAAGTATTTCTGAAAGCTACACTACCGGTCAAAAATTAAAGATCACCTCCATGTCTCCAGTTTTTATTTTGGCCTTAAATGGTACAAAACAAATTAGATTAGATTAAACTTTATTGTCATTACCCAAGTACAAGGCAACGAAATACAGTTTAGCATCTAACCAGAAGTGCAATAACAGCATCGCTGAGTGCGCAGTATCTACAATATGTACAGTCAGTACTAAATTACCAATAGTAATGTACAACTGATATTTACAGTGAGATATGTAGGGTAATGTACAATATACAGTGGGTACGGAAAGTATTCAGACCCCCTTTGTTATATTGCATTTAAGTTCATTTTTTTCCTCATTAATGTACACACAGCACCCCATATTGACAGAAAAACACAGAATTTTTGACATTATTGCAGATTTATTAAAAAAGAAAAACTAAAATATCACATGGTCATAAGTATTCAAACCCTTTACTGTGACACTCATATATTTAACTTAGGTGCTGTCCATTTCTTCTGATCATCCCTGAGATGGTTCTACACCTTCATTTGAGTCCAGCTGTGTTTGATTATACTGATTGGACGTGATTAGGAAAGCCACACACCTGTCTATATAAGACCCTACAGCTCACAGTGCATGTCAGAGCAAATGAGAATCATGAGGTCAAAGGAACTGCCTGAAGAGCTCAGAGACAGAATTGTGGCAAAGCACAGATCTGGCCAAGGTTACAAAAAAATTTCTGCTGCACTTAAGGTGCCTAAGAGCACAGTGGCCTCCATAATCCTTAAATGGAAGACGTTTGGGACGACCAGAACCCTTCCTAGAGCTGGCCGTCCGGCCAAACTGAGCTATCGGGGGAGAAGAGCCTTGGTGAGAGAGGTACAGAAGAACCCAAAGATGACTGTGGCTGAGCTCCAGAGATGCAGTCGGGAGATGGGAGAAAGTTGTAGAAAGTCAACCATCACTGCAGCCCCCC